TTATTAAACAAAAAAGGAAAAATACAGTAAAACATTTTGGACGTTACAATTATCATTTATTATTTATGATATTATTTATGGCATCAAGCATGTACAGTATGAGCCAATCAGTGGCAGTAATGACAGAGCATGCGCTGTTACACAAAAACCGCGATAGAGTGAAGCCGCAGAAGTCGAAGCTCGAAGTGGCGAGGGTTCACTGTAATTATAAAAATAGGTCCGGTTAGTCCTGTTAGTAGAAAAGTAAGCCCCGGGGCCCAGTTAAAACGTAACAGACACCACAGTGGATTGGATTAATTTCTATGCCTTCTTGACTTCACCTTTTCTATGGGTGACCAAAAGGCATCTCTGATAATGCCAGTTTCATTTGCATAGAAACAGCAGCTACTCCCAAGGCCTACGCAAAAGTTGCCCTGAGCCATGAAACGTATTCTCAGGCCGTATTCATTCCGTAACACTACGTCTTCTAGGGAGTCCATTTCTTGAGCTAACGTTTCTATGGAACGGTGAAAGCCGTTGATGTCTGTGTCCGCTGACTTAGTGAGGAACTGAATGTCAGCACCACTCGCCGCTAGGGCTGCCGTTCCTGCTACACTTAATCCGGGGAAAACGGGAACCACGAAAGGCACCAGGTGTTGAAGGGCCTTATTGCGTCTGAGCAGATCACCTACCTCTGGCATGTTTCTGAAAGTGAAGTCTGCCTGACCGTCCAGCACATACATTTGGGGAAATACTTGCACGAGAATGCAGGTGCTTTGCATCTCGGCTCCAGACACGCAGCGATACAGAGTGTTACTACAGTAAAACCAGGTGTCAGGGGGAGCAGTATAAAATGCACTATCAATTACAAAGGTACTGGAAACACAGACGGGTGGCATAGCAATCCTGGTCTTTCCTGTTTCCATTTTTAAAAGGCATGAGCCATTTCCAATTATATTTCCTAAGGTAATTCTGGGGGAGCCAGCGTTTTTACAAGCATGCCTTGAGTCTACAAGGATAGGCTGATCTATGCCTACTCCAACATAATAAGGAGGCTTCATTTTCAAGCACAGCAAGCAATTTTTGGCTAGTTCTGGCTGGGAGTCATTAAGGATGGAGTGCACTGAATTTAATATGGAAAATATGGTGGTGAGGCTGGGGGAGGCTAACAAGGGCTTTGGGCTGGTTCTTGCAGTGCCAAGAGGTAATGAGCGCCTAAGGAGCTTGTGTGTAGGAAGGGGAGGCGATGGGTGCACAGGAGTACGCGTAAACAATGGATCTGGTGTTCCTGCCAGCCAGGCAATGGGTATTAGGGGATCGAGCACTGCTACGGGTATTTTTTTAATGGCAAACATAACCCCTGGGTCTCGACCTGAGACGTAGAGACGGAGGCCAAAGATGAGTCCCTCATCCCAATAGTCAGCTAAGGGATCTGTAAGGTTGAAGAACATAGGGTTGCAGGCCCCTATGTGGCAAGACTTTTCCGCGGGGCCTTTCCATACCGACATGAGATCAGTTTTGTTGGGTCCTTCTACCCAGGTCCCAACATCAACACAGTCCCAGGATGGGCACATATAGGCTCTTATGTCAGAACACTTTGTCTGTCTGTCACCTGAGCAGAGATAAAAGGGGGTGGTTTGGAGCTCGAGCTCGTGATCATAATTTCCGCAGCCAGCATGCTTTGTCCATTGTTCACCCCGATCGCCATCAGATGTTCCTGTTGATACTACCTTCCCTGTCCCTAGGTCGTGATAAAATGGAATGGAGGCTGGGCTCCAGGGAGTGAAAATAGAGCACAGGTCAGCCTGGAGAAGGGCTGGCTGGCCAG